GGCCAGAGGCCGCCATGCGAACCCTGCCATTGCGGCCTTCGGTGAAGCTCCTATGGGGCCACGATCCTCGTGAGGGGTGTGTCAAAATGGCCCGAGGCCGCCATGCCAACCCTGCCAGTGGGAGCCTTCAGTGGAGCCCCCTTATGGGGCCACGATCCACGTGGGTGGCGTGCCGAAATGGCCCGAGGCCGCCATGCGAACCCTGCCACCGGGGGCCTTCGCTGGAGCTCCCTTTGAGGCCACGATCTTCATGAGGGGTGTGCCGAAATGGCCCGAGGCCGCCGCGCGAACCCTGCCACCAGGGGCCCTCGCTGGAGCTCCTATGGGGCTATGGGGCCACGACCCTCGCGAGGGGTGAGCCGAAATGGCCCGAGGCCGCCATGCGAACCCTGCTACTGGGGGTTTTCGCTGGAGCTCCCTATGGGGCCACGATCTTCGTGAGGGGTGTGCCGAAATGGCCCGAGGCCGCCATTTGAACCTTGCCACTGGTGGAGCTGTTCCCTATGGGGCCCCGATCCTCGTGAGGGGTGTGCCGACATGGCCCGGGGCCGCCATGCGAACCCTGCCCTGGGACCTTCGGTGAAGCTCCCTATGGGGCCACGAAGCGTTGCATTGGGTGGGTGAAGGGCAGGGAGGAGGGAGGAAGGGGAGGAGGGCGGGAAGGAGGAGGAGGAAGGAACGCGGGGTCCCGTCCCTTCAAAACGAGGACCCAACACCACAGGATGGTTGGGAAAAACTCTTGCACGACACGTCGTTAAATGACCTGTTCGTACTGGTTCACATGATTGACACCTCGATACATGGATGAAAGGAAGCTGTTTGTTTAAACTGGGCCCTCGCCTGACTAGCAGGCCCATAGGGTCCCCGTCTTATGTGGGTGGGCTGAGCCAGCGGCTTTTGTTTGAAAATGGAGTGCGAAACTGGAGCCAACCTGTGTTCAAGCCTGATGGGCCGCTGATTGCGGCGACAGCTCGCACCAACCAGGAAAAGCAGCGAGCCTAAGAAAACGTGCGCCCGCGTTCTGGAGGCTTCGACCCGAACGGACACTTCGAGCCTTCAGCCCCGAGAGGCCCCCGGGAGACCCCAAGAGGTTGCCGAGAGGCTCCCAAGAAAGGCCCCAAGAGACCCCCGACAGGCCCCAGGAAACCCCAACAGGCTTCCAAGAGGCCCCCCAGAGAGGCCCTCAAGAGGATCCAAAATTGCCCCCAGGATGCTCCCGAGAGCGCTCCGAACGGCCTTGCCGTGCTTTTCGCGAGCCTCCACCGCGCGCCGCGGCCGCGGCGAGGCGCCGCGCGCGGAGGCGCGCGCTCGGGGGGCGTTCCTCCACGGCGCCCCCGCGCGGGGGGGCCCTTCGTCGTCGCCGCCGCGGTCGCCGCGGCGGTCGTCTCCGCCGTCGCACTCCACTGAGTCAGCCACGCGCAGGAGAGGGGGGGCTGAGAGGGGGGGAGTCTTATTTTCGACATCAGCATAAATGAGAAACATGAAGTGCCATTTCAATCGGAGCGGTCCGAATCAGCAACGACGAGGGTAGGGAGGGGTTTCTGAACAACGCCGCTGCTTCTTAGAAGCCGCCGGCCCTGTCTATACATGTAGGGTTGGCGCCTGCTCAGAAGCAGCATCCTTCTAAGGAGCCTTCTCCCCTACCCAACCTTGTGCGCGCCGCCAGGTCAGGGGCAACGTTAAGTTCATGGAGGGACGGATTCAGGAAAGGGGTCGGTAACGTTAGGGGTAACGATGGGTGATTCGAATTGTTAGGTGTGCTGCTATGTTCGTTGGTTCTCGGCGGCTTTTATGCTCACGATGCTCTCCAGCAGCTGCGCCTCGCCGAGGCGAGCCCAGGGCTGCCCGAAGCGTAACGAACGGCCGCCGAGGACCTGACAAGGATCACTTGAGGGGGGGCATGAGAATAAGACCGAACATAACCACCTCGGACTGTTCAGAAGCTACTTCGGTCACATTACAACCATTGGAAGCGGACTGATCGCAACCTGAAGGATTCCTCTGCAAACCTTTGTGGAGAACACCAGGTTCCAACCTATCCAAGAGCTGTTGCAAAGCTCATGTAGAGCTTATGCTGAGCTTCTGCAAGGATTATGCAGAGCTTCTGCAGAGTTTCTGCAGAAATTCCGCGGAGTTTCTGAAGAGCTTACGCAGAGCTTACGCAGAGCTTCCGAAGAGCTTCACAAGAGCTTCTGATGAGCTTCTGAAGAGCTTCTGCAGAGATGTCGCAGAGTTCCTGCGGAGCTTCTGCAGGGTTTCTGCCGAGCTTCCTCACATCTTCCGCAGAGCAGAGCTGCTGAAGAGCTCCCGAAGAGTTTCTGCTGAGCTCCTGCTGAGCTTCCGAAAAGCTTATGGAGACATTCCGAAGAGCTTCCGAAAAAGCTGTTGAAGAGCTTCGGCAGAGCTTCTGTTGAGCTTTTGTAGAGCTTCTGCAGAGCTTGTGCTGAGCTTCTATAGACTTCTGCAGAGCGTCTGCAGAGCTGCAGAGCTTCTGAAGAGCACCTGAAGAGCTTCTGCAGAGCTTCTGAAGAGCACCTGAAGAGATTCCGCAGAGCTTCTGAAGAGTTTCTGCCGAACTTTTAGGGAGGCCTCTGAGAGGCCTCAGCGAGGCCTTTTGTTCCACAGACGTTTCTGCGGATTTTTGTGTATATATATAGATATTATATAAAAAAAACTTCGAGGCCTCAGAGATTCTTCCCTGGGAGGCTTCTCTGAGGCATCTGAGAGGCCTTACGAAAGGCTTCCCTGAGACCTCTGAGAGACCGAGGCCTTTGCGATGACTCAGCGAGGCCTCTGGGAGGCTTCGCTGAGACCTCAGCGAGGCTTCTGAGAGGCTGCCCAGAGGCGTCTTGCAGGCTTTCGAGAAGGCTTAGTATGAGCCCGATCAGGTGTTTCATTCGGAGCTCTGTTGGGCGCTCTGTTGGGCGCTCTACTCGGAGCTCCAATGCGCGCTCTATCACGAGATCTATTGCGCGCTCTATGAGGAGCTCTACTTGGGCGCCCGATTCGGAGCTTTATTGGGCGCTCTACTGGGCGCTCTACTGGGCGCTTCATTCGGAGCTCAATTGGGCGCTCTCGTCGGCGCAATTAGAGATTGCCGAAGATCCCCGGAGATTTGAAATGCTCCCGTATGGGGCCTTGAAGATTTCCGAAAGGACCCTCTTAGGAGTCTGGCGAACCCTCCAGACGAAACACCTTGGACCCGTATACGAACCGCATCGTAACTGCATACGAATTACATTATATGGAAACCGCTTACGAATCGCACGGGAACCGTTTACGAATCACATAGGAATCGTTTACGGACCATGGCCACTTTCGGATTCAATTACATGTGTTTAGTTGACATCATAATCGGCCGTCGGTGTTCTGACCGATCGCAACCTTTTTCCAAATTCCCAGTGAGTGGCTTAAGGGAGTTCAGTGCACCCAGACGCGCTCTTATAATATGTTTCTCTCTTGTCTTTTCTCTCTCTCTCTCTCTCTCTCTCTCCTTCTTAATCGAAACCTTAATGAAGCGACCCAAAAACATCGCAACCACTTCGGACCGTTGTGATCGGTCCGAAGTGGTCGACGATCGGTCCGAAGTGGTCATCGCCGATGGGGGCCCAATGGCCCACCCCGCCCAGGAACGCGTGGATTCGTTGTCGGGGGCCTATCGCCAACCTCGCGGCGATGCATCACTGATTCCAGGTCGATGTCCCCCCCAGTCCCCCCCGAGCCTGGTTGCCCCCCTTCCCCCTCGAGCCTGTCCCCCCCCCATCATTCTCCCTCAGTCGATACGGCTTGCGACTCGAACAAATCATGCCAACGGAAGTCTGGGTCAGCACAGAAATCTGAGCCCCAAGCTTCGCCGCCCATCGGTTGATCCGCGTTTCGCGCACCCATTCGCAATGTCTGCAGTTCCATCAGTGTCCCCCAGGAACCTTTGCAAAAACCACCCTCCAGGGGGATGTTCGGTGGGTTTGTATGCAAGATTCCCACGACCCCCTAGGACGCACTTCGAAAACATTCATCCAGGTAGGGCTTTTGGTTGGCTTTTGAAGGAGGCTTCCCCAGACTTTCCAGGATCCCCCGGAACATCGGACAAGAGGTGTTTTCGGGGTGCTTCGGGGAGCTTGTTTTTATCAGAATTTTCCCGGACATCCCAGGCCCCCCCCTTGACTCCACTTTTCGGCTTGCGAGGAGGAGGAGGAGGAGGAGGAGGAGGAGGAGGACCAGTGAAACCCAATATTCATCAACGATATTGGAATACACCCTCCCTCCAAGCTCCCTCTTCAGTGGGCCGTGCAAGGGTTCATTTCCACCGCGGGAACTGCTTCACTGGGAGACAACAGTTTGAAGACCCTGAAGCGTGCCAAAACACCATTCTCGGAACTCCAACGCCAGGGATCAACCTGACTGTTGCGTCTTGGCGATCCTGAATCAAGCCAGAACATTATTCCTGGGATTCCAACACCGCAAATCAACATAAGTGTTGCGCCCTCACAATCCTGAATCCTTCTAAATCACCATTTGTGGTACTTTGAGCATGGGATTCCGTGATACTCTTGTAATGCTTGAAAACGAATGTGCGCGGCGCTCAGGCGAGAGCAACATTTAGTAAACGGCCCGCCCTCAATCCGTGAGGCTCTGGCAGTTATTTAAACAAATGTGCTCGGCGCTACTGCGAAAGCCTTATTTGGGAAGCGACCCGCCCTCCAGCTGTGAAACGGTTGCCTCTGTTTGAGCGTCAGGGACATACAATGTAAGAAATTATCAGACGGAACGTCCAGCAGCGGAGTGCGACAGGGAGGAGTTGTTCATAAGGACAAGAGATTGAAGATGAGGAGGAGGAGGGAAGGAGGAGGAGGAGGGCAGGGGGAGGATGAAAAGAGGAGTAGGAAGAGGGGTGAGGATGGGAGAGGAAAGGGAGGAGGAGGAGGAGGAGGAGGAGGAGGAGGAGGAGGAGGAGAAAGAGGAGGATGAGGAGGAGGGCGTGTCGCTGCACCTCGTCCAAGGAGCCGCCGGCGCCGCGGCCGCCGCCCTGGGCCCGCCGCCGGAGGCGCCGCGCTCGGGCGCCGGCGCGGGGCTCAGCTTGGGAGGGGGTCACGCGGCGGAGCCACGCAGAAGCAGTTGCCGGGGCCTTCGTTGGAGCTCTGAAGACGGGGGGGCCGAAACGGGTGCGACGGTGCCATGCTCGGGCCGGGCGAAAGGGGGGATTGGGAAAGGGGGGGGTACGAAATCTGCTGCATGCAGCTGGTTTCGGCCCCACCGAGGGGCCCATTCCTCGATACATGGCCGCCTCCCGGCGCCGGGAGGCGCCGGGAAAATCAGCTACGTGAGCTGATTCTCAAACCCCCCCTTTGCCATCCCCCCCTTTCGCCCGACCCGAGAAACGGGTGCGACGGTGCCATGCGGACGCAGAGATCGGGGCCTTCGGTGGATTCTCGGAATGTGTGAGGGGCGTGCCGAAGCGGGCGTGGCGGTGCCATCCGCACGCCGCCATGCGGGCTTTCGATGGAGGTCCCTGTGTGACCACAAAGCTTGTGAGGGGGGTGCCGAAGCGGGTGCGGCGGTACCATGCGAACGCACTTATTGGAGCCGTCGATGGGGCTCTTTTATGGGGCCACGAAGTGCCGAAACGAGCGCGACGGTGCCATGTGAACGCAGCCATTGGTTCCTTCGGTGGGGCTCCCTTGGGGTCACGAACTATATGCAGGGCCGAAACGGGCGCGCCGGTGCCGTGCGAACGCAGTCATTGGGGCCTTCGGTGGGGCCCCCATTGGGGCCACGAAACGTGTTAGTGGATATGCCGACATGGGCTCGGCAGTCCCATGCGAACGCTGCCACTGGAGCCTTCGGTGGAGCTCCTCATTGGGCCTCGAAACGTGTCAGGGGTGTGCTGCACTGTGCGCGGCGGCGCCATGCGAACGCAGCTGTTGTGTAAGGGGTGTGCCGAAATGTGCGCGGCGGTGCCATGCGAACGCCGCCGCTGGAGCCTTCGTTGGAGCTCTTCCTGTGGCCATTAAAAGTCTGAGGGGTGGGTTGAAGCGGGTGCGGCGGTGCCATGCGAACGCAGCTGCGGGGGCCTTCGATTAAGCTCCTTCTAGGGGCACGGAAAGTGTGAGGGGCGTGCCGACACGGTTGCGGCGGTGCCATTCGAACGCAGCCATTTTGGTTTTCGGTGGAGCTCCCTATGGGGCCACGAAGCGAGTGAGGGGGGTGCCGAAACGGGTGCGGCGGCGCCATGCGAATGCAGAGATTGGTGCCTCCGATGGAGCCTCCAAACGTGTGAGTGTAGTGCCGAAACGAGTGTTGCGGCGCCATCCGAACGCCGCCACTGGGGCCTTCGGTGGAGACCCCTATTGGACCACGAATCATGTGGGGGATGTGCCAAAATAGGCGCGGGTGCCATGCGAACGCAGCCACTGGAGCCTTCGGTAGGGCTCCCCACGGGGTCACGAAACGTGTTAGTGGTGTGCCGAAGCGGGCGCGGGGGTGCCGTGCGAACGCAGCCGTTGTGGCCTTCGGTGGAGCTCCTTATGGGGCCACGAAGCGTGAAAGTGGTGTGCCGAAGCCATGACACGCGGAGGGCAGAGGCAGGGATGGCCGGAGCAGGAGGAGGAGGACGAGAAGGAGGAGGAGGAGGAGGAGGAGGAGGAGGAGGGATGAAGGAGGAGGACGCGGGGTGTTGTCTCGTCAAAGCGGTGACCCCAAAGTATGGCTGTGAAGAAAGAGACAAATATAAAGACGGAGAGAGAGGGAGAGGGATATACAAGTGGCACGTGCGTGCCCAGGCCCATGCAGAAGAACTGCAGCAAGTCAGCATCGCTGAAGATATAGACGAAAAGGAATATAAAGTCAGATCCGAGGAGGAGGAGAAGGAGGAGGCGGAGGAATCAGGAGATGGAGAATCAAAGGAACAAAAGAAAAGTCCCACATGGCTGTTGCGAATGCAGTGCAAGAGCGGGACCGCAGTCGAATGCAGGTGGGTGTGCCACACTTTGCGATCATTGTGGCGCAGGAGGCGGTTTCACACCTTGCGATTGCAACAGAAAACAAACTTCGGAGTCAATGTTTAGAAGATGTGTCAAGCGAAACTGCCGGTTTGGAGATTACGATGACAATTTTCAGCACGTCGGGTTTCAATGCTTTGGGGATGTTTCGCGCGAAACGGCAAGTTGACCAAGAACTGCGTTCACAATCATTAAAGCCAAGTGATTGCTTGATTGATGAATGTTGCACTGTTGGACCTCGACGTCGAGGTCCGCGTGAGAGGTGCGTCCGCTTCTTCTCGGAATTTGAAAAATTGCTCAAGCAAAAGGGCTACACAAATCGTGAATGGGACAGTCTGGTTGAAATCATCCCTTTATGAACTCTACTCCCTCGGAGAGGTACGTATGAGAAAATGTGTCTGTATATGTTTACATATATATATATATATATATATATATATGTATGTGTGTACTTCCATATATATATATATATATATAGAGAGAGGGGGGGGGGGGGGGCAATCGAGAAGGGAAGGGGGAGAGGGGGAGGGAAAAGGAGTGGGGCCGGAGAGAGAACGAGAGGGGAAGGGGAGCGGGGGAAGAGAGAGAAGGGAGGACGGAGAGGGAGAGGGAGACAGGAAGACGAGGGTGAGGGCAAGGAGTTGGACAGGAAGTTGGCAGTGAATTGAGAAGGAGGAGGAGAGGAAGGATAGGGGGGAGGGTAGAGGGAAAGGGATTGCGGAGGGAGGGACGAGGAAGCAGAAGTTAAGAGGGACGGTGAAGGGAGGAAGGACAGACGAAGGGAGGAGGTATATTGGAGAGGGGGATCTGGGGAGGGAACAAAGACAATGTGTGGAGGAGGGGGGCCCTCCGATCACCTTCCTTCAGGTTCCATCTTCCCTCTCTCCAACTATTGTTCCCCGACCCACCATCCTTCTCTCTCTCTCTCTCGCTTGTTTCTCATGTTCTCAGCTTCTTGCTGCTTATCCCCCTCTGCCTTCTAACTCTGCCCATGCCTGCCTCATCCCCCTCCCCCGCCCCATCTTCCTCTCCTCTCCTCTCCTCTTAAATCTCTCCCGCACTCACCTACAGAATTGATCCTCATGCTCCTACTACATTCCTCATCCTTATATGATCTCCCTGGTGCAAAATGTAGATGTGCATGCATGTGTATGTGTACATCTGTAACCACGCACATTTTCACTTCCGAGTTTTAAGCTTGAACTTGTCAAGGGCTGTACTGGTGGATGGCAAATGGCTCTCAGCCCATATGATCTCTGATACTTTGGCTTGGAAGCTTTTCAACCATATGCGAACATGTTCGAGGCCGCAGTAAGTGATGAGTACGATTGTTCGCAGTGTCAAACAGTTACGGTTCTCGTGATTCTAGTCTTGTAATTTCTTGTTGTTGCACTTGGGCGTGTTGCAAGATCAGCGGCGCGTGCTGGTTGCACGATGGTCCTCCTCCTGCTATTCCTCCTTCTTCGCTCTCTCTCGCTCCACCCCATCATCACACCACCTCCGCTGCACCCCACTCCTGTTCCTTAGCCCCCCCCCCACGCTGCCTCCCCACCCTCTCGAACATCCACTTTGCAACATCCCCTTCCCTCTTGCCCCCTACCCATCCCCCCCTCCCTACCACTCCATTCTCTCGCGACGACTTCGACGACGAAGACGGCGACGACGACGACGACGACGGCGGCGACCAACGACGGCGACCAAGACAAAGACAAAGACGATGACGACGATGACGACGACGACGATAACATGACGACGACGACGACATGGACGACGACGACGACGACGACGACGACGACGACGACGACGGCATGACGACGACGACGACGACGACAACGACGACAACGACGACGACAACGACGACGACGACCTCGACGACGACGTCGTCGACGACGTCGACGACGACGACGCGCGCGTCGACGAGGCCCCGCGGGCGCGGGCGCGCTGGCCAACATGAGGAGCGCGAGGTGCAGAGGGGGGGAGTGCGGAAAGTTGGGCACAATACACCTGGGGCAACATTAGGGTGGCATAGTCTCAGGTGGGGGGTCGCATCGACTCCCAATCGCCCGCTAGTCGCCGCCTGTAAGCCCACCCCGCCCAGGTCCATGCGGTTTCGCTAAAGGGGTCCTGTCGCCGATCTATGCGCGATCGATGTACCGCCGATTCCAGCTCGATGTTCTCCCCCGTGGGCCGGTCCCCCCTTGCTCCCCCCTGAATGCAGAATATGCGCGGCGGCACGACGCAGCGGCGACGCTGGCGCGGGCGTCCAATCCAGGAGCACAGAACGCCATAACTTTGGACGCCCGAAATGGGTACCGAAAAAATGGGTACTATGCCCAACAGCAAATGTTGTCCCAAACCAACAGCGGCCGCTGTTGGGCAGGCGGCCTCCTGTCTCGAATGGACACAGGCCGCGGCGGCGTGGACAGCGAGCCCTGTTCAAAATGAACAGGAACTGCTGTTGGGCATAGTACCCATTCTTTCAGTACCCATTTCGGGCGTCCGAAATAACACAGGCTTTCGGAGGTCCATGCGGATCCTTCGGGTCGGTGCTGGGACCTCCCTCTGGGCGGCGCCTCTGGCGCCGCCCCCGGCGCGCGCGGTCAGTGCCGATCCAAGAAATCCGCTCAGACATCCAGAAGTGTGCGTGCGTGTGGCGAGCCATATTTTTAACAGAGTGAATCACCACCCACCAAACCACCCCAACCCAACCCGAAGGCTTCAATTTGCCCTCCATTTCCGGTTGGGGGGGGTCGGGGAACGTTGAAAAAACACATGGAACCCGTACCCCCCCCCAACCCGAAATTCGGGTCAAATTCGGGTCTTCGGGTTGGGTTGGGGTGGTCTGGTAGGTAGTCAGTGAAGGGGCCGAACAGTCTTGCACCGTCCCTGGGTGTGTGGCCGAAGTGGGATTCCGCGGCGCAGATTCTGCTACTTGTCGTCGTCCTCGCCCGAAGCCCGCCCGCGACCAACACCCGCGACCCACCCGCGACCCGCCACGCGACACACCCCTCGACCCGCCCCGCGACGCACCCGCGACCCACACGCGACCCACCCACACTGCTTTGACGCAAATCCGGCGTCTTCGGCGGGCTCGTCGTGTCATGTATTACAAGAATTGGCACCTGTGGCGGGCTTCTTCAGAGCCTCGCAGACTGCCGACGACCCCGCCGCCCCCCCGCTATTACAGTCAAGACGATGAAAGAAGGACCACTTCGGGTCAAATGGGGCTCTGGTGTTCCCGCCGTTCCTTCCGCAACTGCGGGAGCGTTCCAAAACGCAATCTGCGGGGCATTCAAATTTGAACGGCCATTCGGCATCAGAGGCAGGGGCCCGCTTCGGCAAGGCGGCGGAAGCCTGCCATAATTACTAGATTGGCCTCTGGCTCTTTCTCCTTCCCAGCCCCTCCCCCCTCTTTCCCCAGCCCTTTTTCCTCCTCCCCAGCCTCGGCGCCCCCCCTCCTTTCCCTCGCCTTCTTCCTCCTCCCCAGAACTCTGTGTTCGCTAACGCCACTGGAGCGGCCGTATCAAAGACGGCCAGCGGTATCTTTCCCTCTGGGCCTCCATCGACAAGACGATGGTTTCGTGTGCCTTTGTTGGCACTATCTCCAAACCTTTCTTTTCATCTTCCACCGCATCCTCCTCATCTAAGGACTGTTCCCCCTCGGCCTCCACCACTCCTGCTCCTGATGCTCCTCCTCCTCCTCCTCCTCCTCCTCCTCCTCCTCCTCCTTCGTCTTCCTCCTGAGTCATCCTCCTCTTCCCTCCTCCTGCTGCTCCTCTAAAAAATGACTGCTCCGCCTCGTCCGTGCGACATGATAAGTGCCGCCAGTCGGCGCTAGTGGGGCGAGCTCCCTTGGTGATGCGGCCTGGTGCCACGCCCCCGCCTGAGGCCATGACTGCGGTTGCTGCGAGCACTCAGGGCAAACATAAGTGCTACGGTGCTCCTCCACTCCGTTCTGCTGGATGCCGTCGGATGGGTTATGTCGGGCCACCTGAGTACTGTGCGTGGGGGATTGGCGTGGGACCCCCTCCAGGCCATCAAGCAGTGGACGACATGCTGATCGATGTAAAGCTGTATATGCAATGTAGAAGCATTCGGACCCTCGGCCCTCCTTTAAATGGTCCCCGTCCCACCGTGAGTGGACAGATGTGGTCGAGGGAGGGGGCCCTTGCCAGATCGAGCAGTTATTAAGCAGCATGTGGGCTGGCTTCTTTGCCCGTCTCGGAGCTTACTCACATGCCGCCGCGTCGTCGCTAGGGGAATTTCAGGGCAGCTCCCTGCATTCGATCAAACTGACCTTTGATGTCATGTCCAGGTTCGCCCTATCGGCAGCTGCGCTTGCCCAAGAACTCTCGGCATGTCCCCTCCCGAGGGCTCGAAAGTTGAACCCAGGGATTCGGTCGCCCTGAACGAGCATGAGCGTTGGCTCTTCCCCACGCTTGGAGGGTGGCGGTGTGAGAGATGTAGCCTGTTTACTGGGACCCCGTCATCCCTGGCACAACTGCGCAACGGGAGCCGTAGGAAGTGCGACCCGTCGTCTTTCCAAACTTGGTAAGCGAAGGCGGTGTTCGCCCTGCGCGAATCCGTTGGAACCACTCACTTTTCGTCCGCGGCGCTCGCGGTCGTGAAAGCTGCTGATCGAGTCTTGCTGCCCGTCCAGGGGAGTACCGATGCACCGCCGAGCGAGGTGCTTATCGTTCGGTTCAATGTCCTCGGCCACAGTATGCGGCAGGTCAGGGGTGTTGATCTGTGCGACGTGTCCAGTCCACACCATACTCCCAGGTGGTGCCTTGCGCGGGCTCCATCGTTTCGCGCTGTCATCATCATCATCATCATCATCATCAGCATCATCATCATTATCGTCATCATTGTCAACATCATCATCATCATCACCATCATCATCATCACCATCATCCGTATCCATTTTGGCTCAAGCCAGTTTGGCTCAAGGCGCCTGGTGGCCAGGCACCAAGGCCGGGAGCGGACGCGCTCCCCTTGCCCCGCGGGGCCGCTCCCCCTCGGCCCGCCGCGGCCGCGCCTTCCTCCCCTCCCTGGCCATGCCGTCTGAAGACAGCTGGCCTGAATCGATTGCCACCACTCCGCCAGCCTCCACTCCGCCTGCATCCCCTAGAGGTACGACCATGGAGGGAGTGAGGGACACCGAGAAGATCCTCGCTGCCATGCATGACAGGATCGTTCCTCTGTCGTCGTCGGTCGCCAGCTTATCCAGTCAGTTGAATCGCGGGGTGCCAGAGATAAACCAACAGATCTCGGGAATCCAGGGTCAGATGATCGCAGCCGAGAAGAATTTCCAGACACTTCAGCAGGCACACACGGAACTGGCAACGCAGACAGCATCGAATTTCGAGCAGATGCGTGCGATCCACGAACAGGCCCTCTTGCAGTGCATCCAGGACCGCGAGACCGCCGAATCTGCCCTTCGGGGTGAGCTCAAAGGAATGACCCAGACGATGCGTGACGAGATCCAGGATATTCAGAAAGTCGTCGAGCTCGGGTCCCCGACACCTCGTGGGGAAGAAGAAAGGCAAGTCCGTAGGAAGATTGAGTCTGGGCTTGTGGGGAACCCCTCGCGTCTTGTGGTTCTTGGATTTCCACGGCCGCTGATGGAGAAAACGCTTCGGGAAGCCGCCCAGAGCATCATCTCCCGCCGTGCTCCGTCCTCGTCTCAGGGTTCGGCCCATGTCAAGGCCTTCGATTGCAGTAAGAAAGTATTCCTGGACTTTGATTCCAACCTAGAGACCACAACGTTCCATGGGATGGCGTCGTCCGTGGGCGCGTTCCCTTTCCCGAACCCTGAGGGCGGTCCCGACTTACAGCTACGGGTCCGACGCGACCTTCCCCCCTCTTCCAGAAAGTTGTTCTACTACCTCGGGAATATGCGACAGCATGTCTCCAGAATCTTCGGGGCGGACAAAGTGGGGTCCACGGGACTATGAGGTGCAGTGTATGTGATGGAGGACAACGGAGTCCCTGTGCCTGTGGTTAAGATTTCTATCGTTGATGATGGCCCAGCCGCGGGTACAGTGCAGCGTGGCGTCGAGATTGATGGGTTGACGGAAGTGGGAGGGCAGCAGCATGCGCAGTGTCTGCACACCAGGTTCGCAGAGATCCGCCCCTTTCGGTGAGTATCCGAACAGTTCGACAGGTGAGTGTGCGGCGGGGAGAAGTCCAGTGGGTTCTGCTACTGAGTGCTCGTCCGCCCTCTCCGCCCAGTTTGATGCACCCCATGCAAGTGACAGTGCTCGATCCTTCTCGCCGCCTGCTGGGGAACCTGGTGGCGTCTACCGCCCTGCCCGTCCGCTGTCTCTCTGCAGTTGGAACACGCGCGCGCCATTCGCCTCTCTCTCGTCTCGCTCATCTCGGTCACGTTCACGCTTCCTTCGGGCCAAGCAGCTGCTCTCACAGTATCAGGTCATGTGTTTACATGAGACGCACGGATCTGAAGCAGACTTGGTTATCCTTCGGGGCGAAATGCGGACTGGGCAAATTGTTGGGAGTTTTCTTGAGGATCGAAACGCGGGGGGAGTGGTGACCTCCCTGTCTTCGGAACTCTGTGACTGCTTCGACTCGATCGCTCCGAGTACGGTCGTTCCTGGGCGAGCGTTACTTGTCCATTGTCGGGGACCTCGAGGCGACTTGGTAGTGGTCAATGTTCATATGCCTAACACGTGCGATGACGTTCGTATCTATCATCAGTACTTACGCCTCATCAGTGCCGCTCTTCCTGCGGCAGCGCATACCATGGTTTTCATTATGGGGGACTGGGACTTCTGTACGATGGAGGATGGTAGGTCTCTTGTATCTGGGGAGGTTGGGCCTGGGGACCGTTTGCAATGTGATGCTTTCCAGGAGCATTGTAGCCACTGGTGCGACTTGTACCAACCCGACCCGACCAGAAGGGATACTGTGAATCGGGAACTGAGGGGGCTGGCCAGGTTAGATC